GCAGGAAAATATCATAGAGGATGCTTGTGTCAGTATATATGGAAACACAGAAGAACTTCTAAAAGAGTAGCACATAGGAAATGAATGTGAAAACATTCTCTGAAGAAAGCCATGCCCTGGAAGAAAAATCATAGTTATTCATTGCCAGCCAAGATTTCAAAGTACAGTTAATGATTATGAAAGTTAACCAGCTCAAACAGCACCTCTGCTATTTTTCTCGTAATCTATCCATATACTGTATCTTTGTAGGTGTGCAATTTTCCTTGCCGATTTTTTTGAGGGAGGTGCATTTCCTTAAGAAGGGTTCTTTTTTTCTCTCCTCTTTTGAGTTTTATTTTCATTATTTTAAATTATTAGTATTTTTTCCACAACTGGCTAGCCTGTGTGAATTATATTCACTTTTTTTTTCAGTTGTGGGATTTGAACTCAGGGCCTGGGTACTACCCCTGAGCTCTTTTGCTCAAGGCTAATGCTCTACCACTTTGAGCCACAGCACCACTTCTGGTATTCTGGTGGTTAATTGGAGATAAGAGTCTCACAGAGGGGCTGGGAAGGTGGCTCAGTGGTAGAGCTCTTGCCTTGCATGCCTGAGGCCCTGGGTTCAATTCCTCAGCACCACATAAGCAAAAAGAAAAAAAGAAGCCGGAAGTGGTGCTGTGGCTCAAGTGGTAGAGCACTAGCCTTGAGCTGAAGAGCTGAGGGACTGTCGCATCCACCTCGACCAGCAAGGAAGACACACCTGGGATTCTTCTCAAAGCAGTTTATTCAGGAACCTTGATTATTAGCTTCCTCCTCGCCCCGCACCGCACTCCGGTTATAAGCCTCCTGGATGGCCAATCCCGAGGTGCCACGTGGCATACACCAATAGGGTCGCAAACACGGAAGCAAGCCAGAAGCCAAGCCATAGCCATATAAGGAGTTGTTTTTCACAGAGAGCACTCGCCATCGGGAAGGCGGAAGGCGGAAGCCAGCACCATCTTTGGTCTTGGCCGTGCCATGCGGCTGCGCCATCTTTGGTCAGCTCCCGCAAGCTCTCCACAAGGGACAGTGCCCAGGCCCAGAGTTCAGGCCCCACGACTGGACAAAAAAAAAAAAGAGTCTCACAGACTTTCCTGCCTGGGGTTGGCTTTGAACTGCGATCCTTAGATTTCAACCTCCTGAGTTGCTAGGATTACAGGCGTGAGCCACCAGTGCCTGGCTTCACCTTAGTGCTAACACTGGAGTTATAAATAAGATTTTTTTGAGAATCCTGTTCTGTTTTATGCCTTCTTTTACAAATTGGAATTGGTGTGAAATTATTTGAGTGACAGCTCATTGTCACAGCATTGACTCTGGTGTGTGTGTGTGTGTGTGTGTGTGTGTGCGCGCGCGCACATGCGTGCATGTGCATCATAATAAAAGTGTCTAAATTGCTAAGCACTGGTGGCTCATGCCTGTAATACTAGCTACTCTTATCTGAAGATCAGAGTTCAAAGCAAGTTAGGGCAGAAGAGTCCATGAGATTCTTTTTTTTTTTTTTTTTTGGATCCGGTCGTGGTGCCTGAACTCTGGGCCTGGGCGCTGTCCCTTAGCTCTTCAGCTCAAGGCTAGCGCTCTACCACTTTTGAGTCACAGCGCCACTTCCGGCTTTTTTCTTTTTTGCTTATGTGGTGCTGAGGAATCGAACCCAGGGCCTCAAGCATGCAAGGCAAGCACTCTACCAGCCCATCCATGAGATTCTTATCTCCAGTTAATCACCAAAAAGCCAGAAGTGGTGCTGTGGCTCAAATGGTAGAATGCTGGTTTTGAACAAAAAAGCTTGGGGACAGTGCCTAGGTCCTGAGTTCAAGCCCCAAGACTGGCACACACACACACACACACACACACACACACACACACACACATAATGTCAAACCTTCCTCAGTAAACGAAGAGATGTTGTTTTTGTAACAAGTGCGTTTGTGAAAGATAATATTACTTGAGCTCCCAGCCCTTTGGGTCACCCCACATGCAGGGTGAGCATGTTACAGAGCTAACCAATTTGACCCAAATACTGTCTGTATTTCAGTTGATCTCAGTTATAAGGTGAGTGCACACAGTTGTCAACAGTAAAGATATGTCCCGACCGGCAGGACGTCAACGAGGGCAGTGAACCTAAGCGAGAAGGAATGAAGGGACAAGAGACACGAAGAATGACAGCAAGACAGGGATTCTGATCAAGCTGCAAATTTTTATTTTTCACACAGCGGTATTTATATGCTTGGAATAAGGAAACTTTTTCATTGGCCATTAAGGAAGCTTTTTCACTGGCCAAAGCAGCTGTAGGATGTTTGCTTATGGCAAGGTGAAAAGGTGGTCATTAGTAGCTGCAGGGTGTTTGCTTAGGGCAGGGTGAAAAGGCCGGATTCTGTAAACTCAGCCTCAAGATGTTCCAGTGAGATAGTCAAGCCTATCATGTTGAGAGACTCCCTTTTGGCTCCCCACAAAGATAGGTATTTATACTGTTTGCTTTTTGACCTGGGTCCTTATGAATATGGATCATTTGCTCTCACTGTTACACCCATGTGACATTAGTAGATCTGAGGGCTTGTACTTGGGAAATATTGCCCATCTTATTGTGCAAAGTGTGTTCTCGTGTAGTGTGTTTTGTCATATTTTGTGTTTCTTTTTTTTAACATTTTATATGCTTTATTGAAAGTTGACAAGTACAACAGTTAAATACCGTGACACCTTACAACTGTGTAGAGAACATGCACAGAAACATATGCATATAATTACTATACAGGCCATATGCAGAAACTCCTAGTGGGTAATCCACTCAGCTAGGACTGATCATTATTCCAAGTATTCGACCAGCTCAAAGGAAAGACTGCAGTAAAGAGGGATTCACTTCAGAATATTCAGCAGCTACATTTCAAACTACACAAAGTGACTAAACTATACCAAATTCGTAAAATTTCTTCAGGTGTGATTTTTTTTTTGTCATGACGCAGTTTTTATGTTGATCTCTCTAGAAAAGACAGTCCACACCTCTTCCAACACCTATGAAACATCTAAATTTCAATGTGTACAACCTAAATAGTAGTTACAGTCTTCTATTGTATAAAATAATTACATTGCATACACAAATATACAATAAGCAACACAACCTCATAGAAAGATAGCCTAGGTCCAAGCTACCTGTCACCATTTGTCACTAATAGTTTTGAGTCATCCAATGTTTCAGAAAAGAGGTACAGTACTAGTGTGTGTATGTGTGTGTGTGTGTGTGTGTTTTATGGACTTTGTTTCGTCAACTTGTACAATGACTGCATCCACCCTCATGTTAGTTTGTCTCTGACCTCTCTTTTAGTTCCTCATGGGGGAGGAGAGGAGAATGCAGAACCCAAAATCCAGGAGGAACTCCACACTTCCTTAGCCCCGTGGAGCACAGTGTGCAGGCAGGAGAGAGGACTGTTGGAAGGGGGTGGGCAGCAGGAGGGGATGGAAAGGCACACAGCTCCTGAGCATCAATTAAACCATTCCTCAGATATCTGCCAAGCTGCACTGGAAACATCATTCTAATTCTCAGATTAACCTTTAATTCACCCAACTAGTAAATTTCTTCAAGTCAAAAGCATATGAGTGTTTAATACTGGAAAGAAGAGATAATGGCATGTATCAGTCTCACGTCTCTTTTGCAGTGAGCAATGAAATGGAATGTGGAGGCGGATTCTCCCTAGCACATCTTCTTCTGTTCAGTTCAGACAGCAGCAGCCAGTTCTTCATTCTGTGGGGCAGTTGGTCCTAAGCCCTTGGATGCTGGCTTGGCTGGGGGGGAGGGAGGCGTTGTGTGGTCCCTTGTGGCTGCGTGATAGCGGGCGGGGAGCCAGTCTCCAGCTGGGCCTGAAACTGGGCCAGCTGCTCAGGACTGGCCAGAGTCTTCAGCAGACTGTTTTCCTACTTCAGCTGGGAATTTTTTCTCTATTAGCTCTTTCATCAAATCTTACATCAAATGGGTTTCACCAAATCCGTAACTTGCTCGATTTTGTTGTCGATAGCTACCACACTTGCACCAGAGAAGCTATTGTCAAGTCTCACAGAGGTGTTTTCAGTTCCCAGCAACGATGACAACAAAGAGATTGAAACTGTCTCAGTTGGTACACTCCTAGATCCATCGCCACTTGTCTACACCATTGGGATCTCATAGAATTGTAGTCAAAAACACCCGCATGGAAAAAAGAAAAGGGAACACAGGCAGCTTGTTTGAGCTGGCTAAAACCTGGTAGCTTTCTGCAGCCCAGGGAGAGCAAAGACAGCAGGGCTAGTTTAAGGAAACCCGGCTCCTAGGGTTTGGCGATCAGGAGATGGGATCCCAGAGCTGCTAAAACCTTCACTCAGCTGCTGCGGCTGCACTAGCTCCCATGTTTTATGTTTCTTAAATAAATCCCCTTTAAAAATACAGACAGGTGGGGCTGGGAAGGTGGCTCAGTGGTAGAGCGCTTGCCTTGAATACATGAGGCCCTGGGTTTGAGTCCATACCACCACATATGCAGAAAAAGCTAGAAGTGGCACTGTGGCTCAAGTGGTAGAGTGCTAGCCTTGAGCTGAAGAGCTGAGGGACAGCGCCCAGGCCCAGAGTGCAGGCTGCATGACTGGAAAAATGTGTGTGTGTGTGTGTGTGTGTGTGTGTGTGTGTGTGTGTGTGTGTGTGTGTGTGTAGAGAGAGAGGGGGAGAGAGAGAGAGAGAGAGAGAGAGAGAAATGAGGCAGGCCCTGGTGGCTTATACCTGTAATCCTAGTGACTCAAGAGGCTGAAATCTGAGGATCACAGTTCAAACCCAGCCTGGGCAAGAAAGTCCATGAGACTCTTATCTCCAATTAACTACCTGAAAACCAGAAATTGAGCTGTGGTGGTTCAAAGTGGTAGAGTACTAGCCTTGAGCAAAAGAGCTCCACATTCCAGGACTGATTTTATTATGCTTGTCTAGCAAGGACAAAGTCCTGAATTCAAACCTCAGCACTACCAAAAAATTGGTGAAAGTTTTAGGTAAGATAATCCTTACCTGTTCCTCCTTTTGGAGAAAAGATAGAACATGATAACTGGATGTCCCATAATAAATAGCACGTGTCTCTACATAATCAGGACTTGCAATTCCCTGGATGCTCTTGTATGATTTTTTTTAAGACTTTTAGCTAGGCACTGGTGGCTCACTAACCCTAACTACTCAGGAGGCTGAGTTCTAGAGGATCATGGTTTGATGCCAGCTCAGACAGAGGTTCACTAGACCCCATCTCCAAAATATCCAGTAAAAAGCAGAGCTGGAAGCACAACTCAAACAGTAGACGACAGCCTACCAAGTACAAGGCCCTGAATTTGAACCCCAGCATGGCATCCCCCCAAAAAAAATCCTTAAATTTTTGTTAATTACTTATTTCCAGATTTATTTTCACTCATAGTTTGAGAGGCTGCAGTCTATAGTGTGCAGACAGGGGTGTGTGGCAGAGACTGTTCATTGTATCACAACCAGGAGGTAGAGAGAAGACCGGAAAAGACAGGGAAAGGCACACCAGCAGTGAGTGACCCGCTCCCTCCAACCAGGTCCAATCATAGTTGCCACACTCTCTGAATAAGGCCATCAACTTTTGAATCCATCTGTGAGTTAATTTGTTAATGAAGTCAGAGCTCAGCACTCCTGTCCAATCACTTTTGGAAAGCTCACCTCTGAACCTTGCTGCTTCAACACAAGAACTTTTGGGGGATGGCTCCTATCCGAACTGTAACAGCCCTGCTCTAAGCAAACTACCAAAAAAGTTTTTAAAAAATGACCTGGATCCTTTGAAATTCTTTGGACTGTTTAGAAATACATTGTTCGATTTTAAAACAACCATAGACTTCGTGGATTTTATAGTTAGTTATTGGCTAGTAGATTGTGTGTATGTATGTGTGTGTGTACATGTGTATATACCAGTACAGAGACTTGAACTCATGGACTCACACCCCCATTTGGCTTTTTTTTGCTCAAAGCTTGTGTTGAACCACTTCAATCACACTTCCATTTCAGGCTTTTTTTGCTGGATAATTGAAGAGTAGAGTCTCATGGACTTTTCTGCCCACGCTGGCTTCAAACCATGATTCTCAGATCTTAGCCTCCTGAGTAGTTATGCTGGCTTCAAACCATGATTCTCAGATCTTAGCCTCCTGAGTAGTTATGATTATAGGCATGAGCCACCAGCAGCTCAGCTACAATTTTTATTCAAATTCTATTGTGGCTAGAGAACATAGTCTTAAAGTGATTCTTATCTTTTGAAATCATTTGATGCCTCTTTATGGACAAGACCTGGTGTATTCCATCAACTGTCTCATGAACATTTGAAATAAATCTAGAATATGTGACCCTATCTTCAAGGACTTTTTTTTTTTTTTTACAGTCATAGAGCTTGAACTCTGGGCCTGGGCACTGTCCCTCAGCTCTTCAACTCAGGGTTAGCACTCTACCACTTGAGCCACAGTTTTCTGGTGGTTAATTGAAGATAAGAGTCTCATGGATTTTCCACCCAGGCTGGCTTTGAACCATGATCCTCACATCTCAGCCTCCTGAGTAGCTAAGATCACAGCGAGAGCCACCAGTGCCCAGCTGAGAAGGTGGCTCAGTGGTAATGAGGCCCTGGGTTCGATTCCTCAGCACCACATAAGCAGAAAAAGCCAGAAGTGGTGCTGTGGCTCAAGTGGTAGAGCACTAGCCTTGAGCTGAAGAACTGAGGGACAGTGACCAGGCCCAGAATTTAGGTCCCATGACCGATTAAATAAATAAATAAATAACTATTCCTACTATTGTTTGCTGTTAGAAAACAATCTGTAAGTCTTATGCTTCTCTGAACATAGATTCAACAAAAGTAGATGCAACTAACATTGAAAGTCACAGGAATGCATGTCTTAAGTGATCACAATATTTAATTCTATTTTTATTTCAGAAAGGAAAAGCATTTCCCACTCAACATCTTCTTCTTTTCCAGGGAGATCTGTGAACATAGCATAGAAGTTGTATTGACTCCAGAAATGATACGAGCAGAGTTCCCTATGTTGAGTCCTAAGGATGCCAAGAAGGAGAAGTAAGTGGTTCCTTTTGGCCAAGAGATAGCCTTGGGCAAAATTGGTCTTGCAGGAAGTACAAAACTGCCATGATATCTGAATCTAAACATCTCAGGCTTTGAAGGAGACATGTTTTCCATGCTTCAAATTTTTAACTATATTTTATGGACAATAATCATCTTCAAATACTTGGGGGCATGGAGGCCTTTAAAAAATGAATCTAGGGCTGGGAAGGTGGCTCAGTGGTAGAGCGCTTGCCTTGCAAGCATGAGGCCCTGGGTTCGATTCCTCAGCACCATATAAGCAGAAAAAAAGCCGGAAGTGGTGCTGTGGCTCAAGTGGTAGAACACTAGCCTTGAGCTGAAGAGCTGAGGGACAGCGCCCAGGCCCAGAGTTCAGGCCCCACGACAGGACCCAAAAAAACAAAAAGTGAATCTAGTTTTTTCATTTGCTTATCATACAGTGTCAGAGATGAATTTATTTCTTGATAATAGCTGATTGAGTTTAATTGTTTAATTTAATATAAGAAACCCAGGCTCTGGAGCCAGACAAGAACTGGGGCTGAATCCCAACTCTACCGTTTATCACATAGAGATTTTGAGCCAAGTTATCGCTTCCCTGAACCTCAGTTACCTTGTCTGTAACATGCTGGGGGTGGGGATGGGGTGGGGATGGGGTGGGGGGGAAGGTGGGGGTGGGGGTGGGGGTGTTAACTATCTTTCACGGAGCCCTTCTAAGAATTGAACAAGATGCCAAACATGAAAAAAATGTTCTTTCCTTCACCTCTACACAAGGGGGCTGGTGAATAAAGTAAGCATCATGCTGTTAAAAATTATAGCCCAGTGCCAGTGGCTCACACTTGTAAGCCAAGCTACTCAGGAAGCTGAGATCCAAAGAATTAAGGTTCAAAGCCAGCCTAGAGTAGAAAAATCCATGAGATTATATCTCCAAAGTTACCAGGAAAATCCATGCTTGAAGCTGTGGCTCAAGTGGTAGAGCCAGCCTTGAGAAAAAAAAGAGCTAAGGGACAGCAGACCCTGAGTTCAATCCCTAGTACTAGCATACACATACAAAAAAGTCAGAAATACTCTGCACTGCCTTATTCATAAAGATGAAAGACCAGCTAATGCTGTGACTAATTTCTTGTTTCACCTTACACAGAAATTAGCACCGTAGGGGGTAAAGACCCTAGAGACCTGACATTTTAAGTAGCTTGCACATGCTGGGAAACAGGTACAGCTGAGACTAGAGGCCAAATCTGAAGTCCAGACAAGCTGAGGGCTCCTACAGATGAGTCAATTATTACTAATAATAGCTAAAATCTTATCTATATTAAAACAAACACTCCACCCACATGCTGCGGCTCATGCCTATCATCCTAGCTACTCAGGAGGCTGAGATCTGAGGATCAAAGTTTGAAAGTCTGTGAGACTCATTTCCAATTAACCACCAAAACCCAGAAATGGGAAAGTGGCTAAAATGGTAAAGTGCTAACCTTGAGTGAAAGAGCTATAGGACATCACCCAAGCTCTGAGTTCACAGCCCAGAATTAGCAATTGGCATGTGAGCATGTGCACATGTACACACACCACACACACACACACACACACACACACACACCAAATCATTTTCCTGATCCTGGACCTGAACTCAGGGCCTGAGTTTTTTTCTCGTAAGACTAGTGCTGTCACTTGAGCCACAGCGCCATTTCCTGCCTTTTCTGAGTAGTTTATTGGAGATGAGTCTCACCAACTTTCCTGCCCTGGCTGGCTTGGAACTGTGATCCTCACATCTCAGCCTCCTGAGTAGCTAAGAGAACAGGTATAAGCCACCAGTGCCTGGCAAAGCCTCCAGTCTTTAATGGAAGTGTTAGATGTTGTTGGGTGCATTGCCTGTTTCATTAATTACCTTTGTTTTCTGATGTTCAGAGAAGTGAAAGACCAGGCACAGTCAGCGGAGAAGTCAGGAGAGAAGGTACTGGAGGAGATGAAGAATCTGCAGGGCAAAGCTCTCAACACATATCTGATTCTGCAGTAAGAACCACCAGAGGCCAGCTCCTCTCATTTTGCTGGGGCCCTTCATGCCAATTTACATTCTGACCTCTTGGAATTAAAGTTCCTAGAGACAAAAATTGAATGTGGATGGATGTATATAGTTAACACTTTGTTTCTTTCTGAAAATAAAATGTCATTAGTTTGATGGCTAGGTGAGATGCTTTTTAGCCCAAGACTTAAATGCAATGACAGTGCCTTTCAGAGCAAGGTATGTGCCACTGTTAGGAGGGTCCTAGAGCCTGGTACTGATGGTTGTTTAGGGCAGTCTTTTGTGGTTTGGGACCCAGGGCCCAATGTAGGGTAGGGCTGGGGAGGGGGCTGCTCCTCCATCTCTGCTCAGAGCTGGTATCATTGACTTTGGCAATGGCAGCTGCTCCCAGTAGGAGCAGCACTGGTGTGGACAGTGGCTCCCATGGGCTATGCCATTCACATACACTGGCAAAAGGGGACTGAGCTGGAATGGACATTGAAGGTGATTAGAATAAGCAGGCTGATTTGAGAACCACTGGAAAACACCCCCATGGTAACTCCCAGAAGCACAGAGACAGGAAGTCATTGCAAAGGGACCAGGAACAGGAGTTGGTAAAAAAAAAAAAAAAAAAAAAACAAGCTCCTTTATGTTTATTTATTCAATCTTAGTGTCTCTTTAAAGGGAATAATAGCTAAACTACTTCCTGTACAAAAATCACATTTACTGCAAGGCACAGTGGCTCACTTTTATAATCCTACCCATTCAAGAAGATGAGATCTGAGGATTGCAGTTCAAAGCCAACCCAGGCAGGAAAGTCTGTGAGACCCTTATCTCCAATTAACCGCCAAAAAAAGTGGCCCTATGGCTCAAGTGGTAGAGCACTAGCCATGAGTAAAAAAGCAACCAGACCCACAATTTAAGCCATAGGACGAGTGTATGCATACATACATACACACAAACATACAAAAGCCCACATACATTTACTAACTCGATTACAGTATTTATTCTTTTGGACTAGCTAGCTTCATAGGATACAGTCAGAATACATTTGTCCAAGTCA